GGCTTGCTTGAATTCAAAATTAGCGCATTCAGAAAGAATATGCTCCCTGGATGTTGTCAGAGGGGTGTAGTCATGGAAACGACTGCCTGTCCCCTTATAGTCTTTGGAATCACATGACTTATCTTCCCCTTTCTTCTCTCCCCGACGGGATGTCAAGGGCTCGTCGCTCTTTGAGAACTTAGCACTCTCTCTGTGCCTGGATTTTCTAGCGATGTTAGCTGCTTCCTTCTCCTCGTACTGTATGTACGCCTGCGCCTTGAGGAGGATGGAGTCGAGCGCGGCCGATGTCTCTATTCCTACAGCTTTGGAAAAGTCACTACGGGGATGGAGCCCGCACTCGAGGAGGTACTTCTTCATGTTGTCTGTTATCGAGACTTGGACCGCTTCTTTGTTGACGACATGTTCAATATATGCCCGTAGAGACTCGTCTCTGCCCTGTATGATTGCTTCCAGCGAGGCCTCCAATTTCGGGTGTCGACGGGAGGTGGTGAAATGCTTCTAAAATATCCTCCCGAGTTGTTTCCACGAGGTGATGGATTCTTCAGGGAGGCTCTTGTACCATGCCACCTCCCCCTTCCTGAGAGTCATTGGGAAGAGTCTACATTTGATGGCTCCCCTGACCCCTCGGTAGTCAAGGAGAGCGTCAATGTTCTCAATGTGTTCGTTAGGGTTCGTTGTTCTGTTGTAGGTTCCCAATATGGGAGGCTTCTTTAGGCCGACAGGAAGTGGAGCTTCAGTAATCTCCCTCGATAGCGAGCCATGGGGCTCGACATCCTTTCTATCAGCGGAAGATAAAGAAGGAGAGTGATAATTTCTTCTCCGTCGATCGTCACGGTCTCGTCGGGGGGATGGGCTCCTTCGTTTCTGCTTTTGCTCGGGAGATGGCAGTCGAGCACGGTCGATTTTTCTGTTGTCTTTCCTCTTCTTGAATGAAGGGGAGTCTTGATCTCTGGAAGGAGGTGTGTCGTTGCGTTTCTTGAAGAAAGAAACGTCGCGCATCTCCTTTCTGGGCGGTGGTCCACGCCGGGGTGGTGAAACACTGAGGGAGTTTCGTTGTCTGGTTCTCCGAGTAGGAGATTTTGATCGTCTATTCTCCCAGGCCCCTATCCTTTGATTTTGTTGTAGGATGAGGGTGTTGGTCTGATTAATAGCAGCGAGCAATGATGCCATGGTCGGGCCGGTGTTGAGAGGGATGAGAATTGATTGCATGACTTCTGGTAGTTCCTCGGCAAAGTTCTTGGGGAGGCCCTTGTCCAAGAACTGGTCGTCGCCACGCTGGGTGTCAGTGGAATCCGGAGACGTGGCTTGATCGTCCCGGAATCCCAAGTTGTCCTCTAGGTGAGGATGTTCCTGACTTCCATCAATTTTGTGAGCAGGGGAAAGAATGGATTTTCCGATCATGTGAAGATCATCATGGTCGGCCATGATTAGTGAGAAGAATCTTGAAAAAGTTGCCTTGATCTTAAGTTTCGGGGAAATAAAAATGGGGAGAGCAGATTCCCACAGAAGGCATCACTGATCTTACCGGTTGATCAGAACCTGAGAAGTGGCCGGGAGATGATCTGCAGTCAGGTTGTGGTGTTGAAGAGAAAAAAAGGGGGTTGTTTCTGCAAGGCACTCCGATAATCAAGTAAGAGTGGGAACAAGAAGGTACAAGCAAAGTATTAGGTAGTGAGTAGTGAATATTCGATACCTGGCCCTTACAGGTGTGAGGGTTTATATAATTCCCTTGGCGTATGGCCGTTGGTTCCTGATTTCACGCCTAGATATGCGGGTCAGTGAAATCAGGTAACTGCCAGAACTTATTCAAACCGGGAAGATATGTGCGTAACTAGTTGTTGATCCCAATGAGGGGGTTAGTTACATGCATCTCTCTGATCGATTCCTGGTGCCTACACGATGTTGATGTCGGGCAGGATGAGAGGATGCTCGTCGGTCATCCTGGGCCAGCGCTAGTTTGAGAGGGAAAATGGTCGACATGCTCGATAGGTAGCGGGTGATTCGGGTCACGGTCGTGTGGGTCATACCAAAGGAGATGTCTTGGACTGGGCCCAATCAAGCTGTCGGGCCAGTCCAGAATAAAAATTATGAAAAAATAAAAATTAGGAAGGGAAAAATCAAAAGTATTTATGGTAATTTTTTCATAATTTTTGAATCAGAAATGAAGTGTTTATAATTTTTTGAAGTTTAAAACAAATAAAACAAAAATCAGAAAATAAAATAATAAACCAAAAAGATCTTGACCATTAGATCAGTGTCAAAACGCGTTAGTAAGCAGATCCAAGAGATCTGACACGTTGTGCATGATATGATCTTCATTTAATAACACACCCGATCTTTAATAAAAAATCAGAAAATAAAAATTAAAACTAACAAATCTGGACCATTGGATCAATGTCAAAACGCGTTAGTAAGCAGATCTAAAGGACCTGACGCGCTATGCATGATATGGACACTAGTGAATAAAACAGTGAATCATTACTCCTGAGCTTCTCCTTTCCCTTCCGAGCTTTCTTCTCATTAGAGTAGGAAGCTTCTAACTCCTGAGAGTAACCATGTCTTTTCTTGGCCTCTGACCATGACTGTTTTTGGTCCTTCTTAACAAAAGAAGCTTTCAGAGCCTGCTCGAACTCTATCTCAGAGTTTCTCATTCAAACGCAACTCTTGTGCCTATAAACTACTTTGCAGCTCTTCAATTCTCATGGTGCTCAAATTCTTATAATGTTCAATTGCTACAATAATGTAATCAAATTGAGGAGTAAGAGATCTCAATATCTTCTCAATTATTACTTGTTCGAATAAAGTTTCTCCACGAGATTTCATCATATTTGTGATCAAAATCACTCTAGAGATGTAATCAAATACCTTCTCATTATTCTTCATGTTGAGATTCTCATACTGCTTATATAGAGACTACAGTTTCACCTTCATCACTGATGTATCACCTCGTATCACCATGTCAGTATATCCCACGCAGCCTTCGTCGTTGTCGAATCAATGATCTTCTCAAACATATTCACATCCACACACTAATAGATGTAGAACAACACTTTCTGATCTTTCTTCCTCGTATCTCTGTGTGCATTTCTTTGTTCCTTTGTCGCATCTGATGCAACCAGAACGTAACCTTCGGTAATGATATCAAGAATATCTTGATCACCAAACAACACACGCATCTGAATCATCCACTGATTCCAATTATTTCCATCAAACACCAGAAGCTTTGTATCCAAACTATTTCCTCCATTCATCTTCGTTCTTGTGCACTAAAACTCAAACAGATCTCACCTAAAAACTTGTGTTTCTCGATTCCGCAAAATCAAGAAATGTAATTATACTATGATTCCGATCTTGAATTCAACTCGAATTCAAGAAAAATGAAATCAATTACACACGCCTCATGTACACTTGGGTTTCCTTGTGAATCGAACCAGAACTCTAGATATCATTATTGGAGCACAAGGTTGAAGATGAAGATGTAAGAAGATATATATATATATATATATATATATATATATATATATATATATATATATATATATATATATATATATATATATATATATATATATATATATATATATATATATATATATAGAGAGAGAGAGAGAGAGAGAGAGAGAGAGAGAGAGAGAGAGAGAGAGAGAGAGAGAGAGAGAGAGAGAGAGAGAGAGAGAGAGAGAGAGAGAGAGAGAGAGAGAGAGAGAGAGAGAGAGAGAGAGAATAGTTATAACAAACTTTTAGAGAGAAAAACTCTATTGTCAAAAACTCTTGTAAATTCACGTTATGAAAAACTAGCTATAAACTTGTTTAAATACACAAAAGATAAGTTGTCACGTAGGAAGAGTCTAAAGCTAAACTACCACGTGGGTCTGATCATTACCTTCTGAACATAAATTACTTCTAACAATAACAATCCAATCAATTGCAATATGTACACCATGTGTTACTATTGCAACTCTCATGTTAAAATCACATATACAATTGTCTTTTCCTTGTACGCAGTTAACACAATCTTCCTGGAAATGATAATTTACTCACCATATTTTAGTTTTTTGTTGGCACAGTTATTGCATCACAACTTTACAACCAACATGGTTTCTTTCCCTATTCTTTTTACTTTCAAATTACTACTTTGTGTTTGAAAATATAAAAGAAATTAAAACCAACACAATTCAAACTCTATTTTCTTATGTTTTTCTCACCTTCAATAACATTGAAGTGTTTTCTCTTATTTGAATAATTAATCATGTGAGAGTAAAAGATCTTTCGAGAAAAACATGACTATTGTGGAACAAGAATCTACCTGAAAATTATATAACATTATTTTCTTTATAAACCACTTGTAATCAAAGGAGATGCTGAACAATTCTCATGGTGGAAGGATATGTTATATAGTTTCTTCATGTCTCAAGAAGAAGATCTTTGAGACATATTTGAAGATGGTCTTAATACATCGGTTATAAGCGTGGAGTTGTTATAGACAATAATTGACTATCACTTGAGGATAATAAGAAATATAAACTTCATAAAGCAAGAAGTATTACTATGAACATTATCTCTTTCAAAGAGTTCTCAAAATTCTTGATCTATCGATTGTCGAGAGCATCTATGAATCTCTGGTCAACACATATGAAGGAAATCAACAAGTCAAAGAATCTTAAAATGGACTTTTTATTCAACAATATGAGTTATTTGAGTTAAAAGAAGATGAAGATATTTAAAACCTATTTTTAAAAGATGACCTAGTGTTAATCCAAATGATTACTGTTGTCACAATAAACATTTATGTAACTTTTTTATTTTATATTGATTACTTCATTATCTAGATGCAACTTATATTTTTCTAACTTATAAAGATACAACAAAACTTTAAAAATATATAATAACACAAAACAAATAAACTGAAAATTGCCGTCTCTTTTGTAATGTGATAATCTACCATTGAGCATTTCATCTTTGAAACTTGTACATGATTAAAACCTACATAAAAACCTAAGCTACACTTTATACATAAAGGGTTTGTACTTATGAAAGGCTTCATGCATGCCATGAATGGCAGCACATGCTGCAACTATTGACACTATCATAAAAATAAAGTTCAAAGTTTGAAGTCCAAACCATTTGAATGTTTGTCTCCTAATCTTTTGCTTGGCAATATACATTTGAGTTGGAAAATATATTGTTAATGGCCAATACCCCATAGCTCCAAGAAGGCCAAGCATTTCATTAAAAAAGGGCATTGCCATAGCCAAAACTGTCACTATTGTTACAAATATTGTCCTCCAAATTAGCCTAAATAAATTTAAGTTGAACTTCATTTTGCCAAAGCCAATTGGATACTCTTTAGTTATGAAACTTGATTCTGACCACCTTTGACCCACTGATAGTTCAACCACACAAAAAATAGGTTGTACTATTACCTGTATATGCACAAACACAAACATCAAACACGACACTCAGGCATAGTCATGTTAATACCGATAATAATTTTAAAAAAATAACTTCAAGATAATCATATATGTCAGTGTTGTATCAGACACTAACACGTATCAGACAGACACCTGATAGTAAAAAAAAATATTCTAGTATATAATAAGATGTGAATGAATTTAAGGGTATAGTATGAAACCTGATATGCTCCAACCAAATGCACAATAAGGAAAACATTGGCTAAATCAATAAGCCAAAAAGGCTCTTTAAAGCCAGAGCCCATTAAGATGCTTCCTGGAGTGTTGGAACCAAAGGCAGCATAACCAGAGCAAGCACATAAGAGGAAGATATTTGTCATTGCAAATATTCCTACTCTATTTGCCATCTTCATCACTTTGTTTTCTGGTGGTGATGACTTCAATGAATCCTATTTTTCACAAAAAACACATAATAGTTTTAATGAAAATCATTGTCATCGATTTTAAGAAGCAATGAAGTGTTAACACATACATCAAACACGACTCAGATCAAATACTGATACATGTCAGATATTAGACACGTTTTTGTTCGGCAGTATAGTTTATTTCATTTGATACCTGAATATCTATAGCAATTTGAGAATAGCTGCTGGCAAGTGCAACATTTCCCAATGCAACAAGCATACTCCACACCCGGTCTTCTAAATTTCCCTCCTTGCTCCCTCCTATTAAAGAAGTACTCGCTCCATTTCCTGCATGAAAATAAGAGGATCCATTCCTACATATCATATGGCATTACTCAAATGTTGAATTCGTCCGGTAGAGTTTGACTTCATAATCTTAACGAACAAAATTTAAATTCCATAGAAAAATAGTACTAACCTTGGATGATGGTAGCAAGAGAAAGTCCAATTCCAATAAATGCATAACCAAAAGACATTGTTGCTGCTATGATTGAGAGCCATGATAACTTGTGAAAATTAGGGATTTGTGACAAAAATATCTCAACAACTCCAAGACCAATCATATATGGATTATTAGAAAAAATGCACGGTGCTTCAATTCCTCTTTTGTGGAAGCAATTGATTTTTTGTATTGACCTGAAATATCAAATATGCAACATTTCGTAACCAATCAATTTAAATAATGGACATTTCTTGATAAACAAGTTTTGATTTTTTACATTAATTAAATAACTAATGTATCTATCAGTCAATATAATGATCAGATAGATACATTTGTTATTCAATGAACTTACACGACGCTTATGGATGTAGTTATTGTGTATCCGATTGCAGCTCCACTAAGGTTAGCATATTGGACAATCCCACACATGACATGCATTTTACCACCTAATAGATTGTGTGACAAGAAACATGTTATATGAAATTGTGTGACAAGAAACATGTTATATGAAAATTTGTTACCTAAGATGGTTTTCACAGCTTCCATGTAAGTACGGTTTCTCTTGCCAGTAACAGGATCTGGTGTTCTGTAACAATCTGTTAGAAGATTGGAAGTGTAGAGTGTGACAACAGCTATGATTATTATGTATGATATACCAAAGATCCATCCCAATTGAGCCATCACCCATGGTAAAGTTAGCACTCCAGCGCCAATAACCGCCGTTATGATATGTGCACTCGCCGTCCATGTTGTACCTGTATTTTAAATTTTTATATTAGCAGTGAATAAAAAATTACCTTGATTGATGAAAGTCTCAAAAATATATTTATCAAAATTATAATATATTCTATCACATTTGATTTGTATAGTACATTTCACTGGACAACTATAAACAAGATCTCAATTATAATCATAACTATAATTCACCCTGCAGAAAGCTGAGAAAGAATGAATGAAATAGAAACCTGTTCGTTTTGGTTTGCCATCATCATCTGTTTCAACTTCCTTCTGCATCTCATTCATATCTTCAAACTTAAAACTTTACCATAAACAAACGTGGCCTTCAAACCTAAGAGCATATAACACATATCCACGTGTATTCTTTTGACTAAATACAAATTTCATATGAGTAAATCAATATCAGGAAATTATTAAGGTTTTTTTTGTTAAATTCTGACACCTCATACCTAGTTTCTAGCACTGTTTGACATAGTCCATCTCAATTAGTTAAAGGAAGTGCTCTAGGTTCTTAATCAGCCTTAATTGTGTGTCATTATAAAAATAAAATTCACTACGCCAAAAATAAGTTTTAGCAGCACACATACGAAAGCGCTTTTAGGTAAAAGCGCTGTTGTAGGTTTTAAAAAAATTCGTTTAAAAAAAGCGCTTTCAAAGGGTGCCTTAAGAAAGCGCTTTTCGAAAGCGCTTTTCAAAAGCGCTGCTAAAGGTCACCCTTAGAAAGCGCTTTTTGAGAAGCACTGCTAAAGGGTGCCTTTTAGAGGGTACCTTAAGAAAGCGCTTTCAAAAAGCGCTGCTAAAGGTTAGCCTTAGAAAGCGCTTTTACAAAGCGCTGCTAAAGCTGGCCTTTAGAAAGCGCTTTTAAAAGCGCTGCTATAGGATATGCTACGAAAGCGCTTTTACATTAAAAAGCGCTGTTATAGGTGACCTTTAGAAAGCGCTTTTAAAAGCGCTTTCGTAGGTAGTTTTATAATAAAAATCAAAAATTCGTATCATCACTTTTCTATTGTTCTTCACGAAATCTTGAAAGCCCTAAACCAGAGCTCTGCCGCCGTTAGCATCTACGAAATCTTGTTCAGGACCACCGCCTCCGTTCAACAGTACCTCCGCCTCCGTTCATCAGTACCTCCGCCTCTGCTCATCAGTACCTCCGCCTCCGTTCATCAGGACCTCGGCCTCCGTTCTAGGTATGTCAATTTCTAGTATAGTTTTGTATGAATAAATTGTTCTATGCTTGCTTTGATTCTAATTTCTAGAATAGTTTTGTATGAATAAAGATGTGACTATCTTCTAATAATTCTTTTAGTTAATTCGATATAGGAATTTTGTGTAGCATTACTTTTTTCTATAGTGGTAGGGGAATGCATATGTGTTGGAGTTTGCATGTCTGATGGTCAGAGTCGCTAGTTTATGCAGATTCTTTCACATTCCATATTAACTATATTATCGCAGATACAGTGTTTGTTGTGGTTGGGTTTTGATTTGACCATAATTGTGGTTTTGCCTTGTTGTTTGCCTACAACATATTGATAGTAAATACCATTCATTTCCTGCTCCATAGCTTACTCTATAGTTTAGTTTTGTAGAGTGTGTGTACGATTTTTTCTCTCATACAACACAATGTAAATGTCATCTCTAAGTTTTCACATATAATAGACATATGAGTTAAATATGTACTATATGCACTATTGTAAACCAAAATATTTAGCCTCGCTATATATGTTTAGAAGTCAAAAGACTTTACGAGAATGAAGGAAACATCCATGCAAATGTACATTTCCCCTATTTTCATCATTACTTGTAGCATACATTCCATTAATTTATGATTGATTTTGAGCAATGATAGTTTCTTGTTTATGGTTTCTTGTGTTATACTTGTGTACTAAAGTAGTTGATAGAATAAAATGAATTTAGTGAAAAGTATTGAGTATTGGTTTTGTTATGTGGTTGTGTAAGAGCAAGTGCAAGTTTTGAGTATTGGTTTTGTTTTCTAATTTATCATTTAGCTCAGATTGACTCAGAAACTGTAAACCATGGATAAGACATGGATGTATTCCAATCGATTGTCGAAAGAGTACGAGAACGGGGTATCGGAATTCGTTAAGTTTGTTGTTGCGCACGTCGAAGACCCCGGTCGAATGACATGTCCTTGTTTGTGTTGCTGTTATGGGAATCGGGTTGACACGGTTCAGTTGGCATCGCATCTAATACGGTATGGAATTGATAGAAGTTATACATGTTGGAATATGCATGGTGAGAAAAGTGACGGGAATGATGAATCGGGGGATAATAGGACCTATGCTTCAAACGACAATGGCACAGATACATACGATTATGATCGAGTTGAAGAGATTGTATAAGCGCTTGAAGAAGATCTTAATGATTGTCCCAAAATGTTCGAGAGATTGGTAAGCGATGCAGAGAAACCGTTGTATAATGGTTGTACAAAATTCACAAGATTGTCTGCGGTATTAAAGTTGTACAACTTAAAGGCGGGCAATGGATGGTCGGATAAAAGTTTCACAGAGTTATTAGCCCTTATGAAAGATATGCTATCAGAGGATAATGTTCTCCCCAATCGAACGTATGAGGCCAAAAAGATGTTGTACTCTATTGGCATGAGCTATGACAAGATACATGCTTGTCCAAAAGATTGTGTTTTGTTTCGAAACGAGTATGCATCGTTAAATGAGTGTCCTAAATGCGGTGCCCCTCGATATAAGAAAAAGTTGTCTCCGGAAAAAGTCTTATGGTATTTTCCTATAATTCCGAGATTTAGACTGATGTATCGTAGTGAAACCGATTCAAGACACTTAACTTGGCATGCAGATGAAAGAATTGTTGATGGAAAGTTTCGACATCCGGCAGATTCACCACAGTGGATGAAAATTGATAATGATTATCCTGAATTTGGAAAAGACGCAAGAAACCTTCGCTTGGCATTGTCTACTGATGGAATGAACCCACACGGTATTCAAAGTATCTCGCATAGCACATGGCCTGTAATTCTTATGATTTATAACCTACCTCTGTGGCTATGTATGAAGCGTAAGTACATGATGTTATCTATGTTAATTTCTGGGCCTAAACAACCAGGAAATGACATAGACATATATTTGGAACCTTTAATCGAAGATTTGAAGATTTTGTGGGAGAACGGTGTGGAGGTTTATGATGGGTATAGGAAAGAAAGTTTCAACTCGAGGGCGATGTTGTTTGGAACAATTAAAGATTTTCCAGCCTACGGAAATCTATCCGGGTATAGCATTAAAGGTGAAAAAGCGTGTCCTATCTGTGAAGATGGAACCGATACGATGCGATTGAAACTTTGTCAGAAGAATGTCTTTCTCGGTCATCGTAGATTCTTAAATTCTAAACATCAATATCGTGGATGGAGAAAAGCGTTCAACAGAGATACCGAACAACGTAGAGCTCCGCCTGGATTGACAAGTGATCAATTATTTGAAAAGGTGAAAGATGTGAGTATTCAGTTTTGCAAGCCTTTTGCACATAAAGTTGTTACAGGTGGGTGGAAGAAGAGGTCGATTTTTTTTGAATTGCCATATTGGAAATATTTGTACGTAAGACATTTTCTTGATGTTATGCATATTGAAAAAATGTATTTGACAGTGTTATTGGTACATTACTCAATATAAAAGGGAAGTCTAAGGATGGTCTTAAAGCAAGGGAGGACATGGTAGAGATGGGAATAAGAACTGAATTGGGACCCGTGAAAAAAGGAACACGAACATATCTACCACCTGCTGTTTACACTCTATCCAGAAAGGAGAAAAAAATATTGTGTAAGTTCCTAAGTGAGGTTAAAGTTCCAGAAGGCTACTCATCAGATATTAGAATACTTGTGTATATGCAAGACCTCAAGTTAAAGAGTTTAAAGACGCATGATTGCCATGTTATAATGGAACATTTTCTACCGATAGGTATACGTTCTATTCTTCCAAAAAAAGTAAGAAGCGCAATAACTAAACTGTGTTTTTTCTTCAAGTCAATTTGCAGCAAGGTGATCGATCCTGAGATCTTACCAACATTGCAAAAAGAAATAGTTGTTACTTTGTGTGATCTTGAAATGTATTTCCCTCCCTCGTTTTTTGACATAATGGTTCATCTTGTCGTTCATCTTGTCAAAGAGACACAACTGTGCGGACCAGCTTATATGAGATGGATGTACCCTACTGAACGTTATATGAAAATATTAAAAGGGTATGTGAAAAACCGAAGTCAACCAGAGGGTTGTATTGCTGAACGATATATTATTGAAGAAGCGATTGAGTTTTGTACTGAATATCTGTCAAATGTTCAATCAATTGGACTCCCCAAATCTCACATTGTTGAAAAAAAAAGAAGGTAAGAAGCTAATTGGAAATAAAGTTGTGACAGTATCAATGGTCGAACGGGATCAAGTGCATTTGTATGTTCTGCATAATGAGCTTGAAGTTGAGCCGTATGTTGAAATTCACAAGGGTGTTCTTCGAGGTTTAAATCCGAATAGAAATGAGAATTGGATTGTACGAGAGCATAATCGAAGTTTCATACCATGGTTTAAGGAACATATTTATTCAAAGTATCGTTCAGATCATGCTTCAGTAACAGAAAGATTGAGATGTTTAGCATACGATCCAAGTTTAGTTGTGTTTTCTTATAGCACATATGCAACTAATGGATACACATTTTATACCAAAGAACAGGATGACAAAAGTACTATGCAAAATAGTGGTGTCACCTTGATCGCTGAAGCAATGCATATATCAAGTGTGAAGGACTTAAACCCAAAATTTGCAAACATGTCATATTTTGGGGTTATCGAGCGCATTTGGATGTTTGATTACGAGAAGTTTCAGATTCCTATATTTGGTTGCAAGTGGGTTGAAAATAATAATGGCATACGAATGGATAAATCAGGTTTTTTGCAAGTGGATCTTAATAGGGTGGGGTACAAAGATGAGCCTTTCATTCTAGCCTCTCAAGCTAAACAAGTGTTCTATGTCAATGATCTGACAAGTACGAAATGGTCTATAGTGCTATTATCTAACAAAGTAATTGATGAAAGCATTGGAGATCAAAGTGATATTGGTGTTGATATTGAATCTTTAACCATAACTGATCAAAATGATAATGAATCATGTATTAGAAACGATCATAATGAGGGTATTTGAATCAATCCAACTGTCCGCGTTGTTAAGAGACGAGTAAAACACATTCCTACCAAGAAAAGAAAGAGACCTTAGTGAAAAGGGTAATAGTATATATGATTATAGCCTATATCA